CCCAATTGGCCCTGCTCTGAGCCTGACCAGGGGCTGCACTTAGGGATTGGGCCTGCCCTCTGCCACCCGGGAGCAGGCCTAAGCCAGCAGGTCGTTATCTCCCGAGGGGTCCCAGACTGCGAGAGGGCACAGGCCAGGCTGGGGGACCCCCCCTCCCCCGCCCCCCGAGTGCACAAATTTTTGTGCACTGGGCCTCTAGTTATTTAATAGGTACGGAGTTTCAATCAGAGAAGATGAAAAGGTCTGGAGATGGATGGTAGTGATGGTTGTACTACAATGTGAACGTACCTAATGTTACAGAAATGTACATTTAAAAATGGTTAAAATCGTAAGTTTTATGTTAGGTATCTTGTACCACACTTAAAAAATAAGGTGTCCGGCCTGGCCAGTGTGGTTCAGCAGTTGAGCATCAACCCAGGAACCAAGAGGTCACCAGTTCGATTCCCGCTCAGGGCACATGCCCAAGTTGCTGGCTCCATCTCCAGTGGGGGAATGCAGGAGGCAGCCTATTGATTATGTTTCTCTTTCATCAATGTTTCCATCTCTCTAACCCTCTCCCTTACTCTCTGTAAAAATCAATAAAAACATATTTAAATCCTGACGATTTAATAAAATATATTAAAAATATATGTGATTTTTCTGAACAGCTGAAGAAAAAGATTTGAAAAATTCAACATTCTCTCAGCAAACTAAAAATAAGCAAGCAAGCCAAAGGGGTCGGATTGTAAAATCAGATGTACTCAAACCATAGCTCTTGCAAGAGCCTCCAACTGTTTCCAATCTAATTCTCCAAACTAAGCAAGCATGATCTTCCTAAAACACAATCCCCATCATGTCACTCTTCTGCCCTTAGCTCCCACTGTATGTAGGAGTTTAAGCCCCGAGGGTGTTACAGCAGCAGTCCTGTGTCCTGCCCATGAACCCACCCCACAGCCATCTTCCATCTACCCTACCTTTAACTTCAACTCTTACTTTGCTCACCATGCTTCATCCATACCAAACAACACTCAGTAACGCTTCCCATTTCTCTGCCTTAGCTCTAATCACTTCCAGCTTTTCCTAACTCCTCAACTATGTGGTAAAACTCTACTCCTGCTTTTTAAAGAACTAAATCAAATATCTTCTCCTCTTTGAAACCTTTCTAAACTGCACACACTCAGAGAGCAGGGATCAGTTATTCCCTCTCTCAAGCCTTCAATGTTCTATGTATGAGTGTCTATCATAGTATGCAATGCATTTAGGACTTTTTGTGTCAATTAGCTAATTTCTTAAACTCATGTTCCTTGAGAAAAGTAACTGCTTCCTGGTTTCTCTAGACAGTGGCTATAATATAGGAAAAAATGAATGTTTTATAGTTGGGTGAAAATAATAGAATCGAGTTTCTCAAAACAACAGGGATTTTTACAAAATCTCTGTTTTATGAGTTGGTAAAAAAACGGGTTTTATGGCAAATTAAATGAGAAATGCTGCATTCTCTAACATCTTCTTAAAGAGGCACATGCACATCTGAGTATTAAAGATACTGAGATGTAGCATAAACAGAAGCCCATCTCCTTAAATTCATCACATTTCAAACTTGGAAGCCATCTATAATTCCTACTTACATCCCGCAGAACCAGTGTTCTAAGTAACATGCTTTGAGACACACTGCATTAACAGATGAACTATTTCTGACATGCTTTGATATTTATAATACCTGTCTCAAATTAGTGAATTACAGAAAGTTCAGTAGTTTACGTTTTATATCATTCCATTAAATGTAAATATAGGCAACATGTGATAACTAAGTCAAAATTCTCTACTATAATTCTCCATTTAGCTGCTGTTGGTAGAACCCAGCCACCACCAAATGGAACAAAATCGAGAATGAGACCTAGACTAGAATCCCACTCACCATGTGAGCCCTGCTGGACTTCTTGGCCAAGTCTCAAATTTAACAAGGAAACAAGACCCCGCCGTGAGACATCAATGTAAAGGGCACTGATTGGTCACATGCCAGAAGGAGTAGGATCCCTGATGCAGAGCTGACCAGAGTCCTGGACAACACTCTGCATTCAGAGCACCTGTTCTAACATCCTACATCTACTTTCCATCTGAGAGCGCTGGGGACAGAGCTGAGTCACATGACTGCTTAACTTGAAAGAAAAATTAAAAAAAGAACAAATGTGCTCTGCCTCAATAGAGCTTTAGTTATTAAAATTAGGATTTCATTTTTACAGAAACTTTTCTTTGCCCAACTCTGAAGGCTGTATGATTATTAACTAGCCACAACCCCTTCTGGCTAAGAAAGGACACAAAACTCCTGCCACCTGGGAAGGACTATTATAACTCGCATTTCCATTTTGGTAGTGGCACACCTGGCTGTCTTTTTAGTCTTTCTTTCAGTGAATGAAAGAAATTAAATACAAACTGACTTAATGCATAACTGGTAACATTCAAAAAAGCTAATAATTTGCTTTTCCAAAGAATTTAGAATTCCGAATTGCTGACTTTTCATTTTCTAAGAATTCCTTTTCTGATTTGCTGTTTCATACACAAACAATTCTGTGTATCTTTTACTTGAATGTAAATGAGGCCACTGCATACTCTTAAGTAATTAAGAGAGTGAGGGATTTAAAAGCTAGTCTGAACTAAACAAACCTGTTAACCATTTCAGGAAAGATCATGAGTACATAAAAAGAGAAACCGTAAAAACTACAGTAAAATTTAAAACATCTATTTTCTTACCTATAGTCAAAAATATCAAAACCGGTTCAATTTTTCCTCTTTGTGAGGGCGTTGGTTGGGAAGGTATGTGTGGAAAATAAGGAACTTACCTAGGCTAGAATTGCCTTTTGCTATGGTAATAGTCTTCTCAAAAAATTCTCTGGATATATTCTGAAGCATGATACGCTCGGCAGCAGAGGCCAGAGAGCTCTGTTGATTTAAGAACTCAGAGCCCTGACGGAAAGAAAAAAATAAGTCACATGGAAAGGGAAATTAGACTTTGGAATATGATTTCAACATCACACATGTTCTCTCATTGGTTGTGCTTTACTCCACAAGAATCCATAGCCAAGACAAGTTCATAGGTTGGCTTCTGGAAAACCTCAGCGTCAGGAGAGCACCAGCTCCACATGGGGAGCCGAGCTAGAATACTTCCCTGTCCCCAACCTCATGACCTCATCCTAACACACCCACCGTATCTTTAAAATAGTACCTTTCCCGTTGAATCAGGCAGCAGAGAAGTAAGCTCTGCACTCGATATAACTTCACTGGGTAGGTGAGACTCAGCCCACATGCCTGTGTTTTCACATCCATATTGTTGTTCAGGTGTATAATCATTTACAATAAACCCAGAAGCAGGTCCCATGCTCAAGTCTACGGAAGGTGGGCTGTCATCCTGTCTTTGCAGGAGGTTCTGAGTGTAGAGTTCTTCCAAAGGCACTTGCAGATCAAGTATTGGATCCGAAGAACTGTCAGTAACATCCTGAAGATGAGAGAATAGAAAAGAAAAAATTATGGCCAGAATTACCTCAATGTATTTTGTAGGATCGTTTCTTAATGGCTGACTACTTAGTGGGGAAAAAAAAACCTAAACACAACATAATTATTCATTAGTTAAAAAGCATTAGCAAACATACAAATTCATCACTTAGCTGATATTCTGTATACCTTTGTGTTTATAAGTGCTTTTCAATACATTTCCTGCAATCATACATCTCATGTTACACTTGTACACTATACTGTATAAGAGATCATTTAGATACATTAGTATGTTCTATTCACAAATAAAATCATTTGGAGTTCAATTTAAATGGGAAAGCAAGTAACATATTTCCAAATCTTATTTAAAGAGCAGCCTGAGTTCCTAAGTATTATAAGGTCAACTGCATAAAAGAATGACATTAATTGATTCAGATTCACAAGAACCTTCGAGGGAAAATTATTTCAACAGATATTTATAGGTATTTGTGGAAAAGAACAGAAAGCCACACAATTCATATTATTGTAGGGAATTTTTTCATAAATATTGCGCAAGATATAACAGAAGAAATACTACAATGGGGTATTATAAGATATAGGTTCTAATTCAGGCTCTCTCGTTAACAATCTGTACATTATAGAACCTCTCTTGGCTTTATATTTCTAAAATTCCCTAAACTCTAAAATTCCATAGTTCTACATAAATGCATGTATGTACTTACAACAGATATACTGTATCACATATGTGCTTTGGGCAAGCAGTAGCTCCATGAACTGCTGCTGTTGAGTAAACTTATCAATTTTCTCTCCAATTCTTTGATGGATGTTTTGAAAGTATAAAAGCAGTATATGAATACAGTGTCACTGGCAAAGATTCAAGCCATACAGGTGCATAGTGTGTATGCACACTATATTGAAGTCTTCCTGTATGGCTCCTACTTCTTCTCCTCTCCCCAGTAAAACTGGCTGGCTTCAGTTGTGTGTTTATGAACCAGATTTTAAAATTCATTTGCATTACATATATATATATCCAAATGCACACACTCACACATCCAAGCACACATATACATTTTAAAACCTAAACAGAACCATACACTACACAGGTTTTCCTCACCCAAGGATATGTTTATTGATTTTAGAGAGAAAGGAAGAGAAAGAGAGGGAATGGGAGAGGGAGAAAAACATCGATGTAAGAGATAAACAGACCAATTGCCTCCCGTGCGCACCCGACTGGGGAACGAACCTGCAACCTAGGTGTGTGCGCTGACAGGAATTGAACCTTCAACCTTTTGGTGTACCAACAATGCCCTAACCAACTGAAATACCTGGCCAGGGCGCTACTTGCTTTTCTGAAGTAAACTTATACCCTGACATGAGAAATTCCCATGTCGATGAATAAAAGTCAACTTCAATCTTCTTAAGGCTATAAAATGTCCCTAAGTCGGAAAGGCCTAGTGTGCAGACTCTGGCGCCCAGCTGCCTTAGTTGAGATGCTGGCTCCATCAGCAGGTACCTCTTTCAGCTTTGACAAGTGACTTAAATGCACTCTGTGCACTGCTTCCCTCCTCTATCAATGAGGGAAAATAATAGGACCTAGTCCAGGGATGGTGGGAGGATAGAGAGAGTTAAAACCACAAAGTACTAAAAACATTGCCTGACGTATTAGAAAGTGCCTGATAACTATTAGGCATTGGTGTTATTTTTACTGCACATCTTTGTGGACCCGTGAAAATTTATTTAGTATAAACTCCTACAATTAGAGCTGTTGTTCAAATGATATGCACACTTGCAATGCTGTGCATAGCAAATGGGCTTCCAATTAGCAGTTCAGTGCTTTACTACGTGCACCCCTGACAACGGGTGAGGACATGCCATTTGTATGCCTCCTGTCAACTCTCTCTTTATATACTTTACCAAGGATTCTATCACATGGTATTCACTTCCTGTGGCCATGGACATATTCTGAATATAGTCTTTGTGATATACACTAGAAATCTTTCCCCAGCTTGTTACTTCTAAGTCTGTATGATCTGTACATGCAGGAGTTAAATTCTATATGTAATCAAGAATTCTTTATGTATTTTTTAACGGACTTTTTTTTTAACGTATTTTTTTGACTTTTTACAGAGAAGAAGAGAGAGGGATAGAGAGTTAGAAACATCGATGAGAGAGAAACATCAATCAGCTGCCTCCTGCACACCTCCCCACTGGGATGCCTCCTGCAACCAAGGTACATGCTCTTGACAGGAATCGAACCTGGGACCTTTCAGTCCGCAGGCCAACTCTCTATCCACTGAGCCAAACCGGTTAGGGCTTAACGAAATTCTTTATACAATTAAATTTGTCAATTTGTTGTGTGCTTTTGGGTTTTACATGTTGCTTAATAAGTCCTTCCTCTGCACAAAGTAAACAAAATTCTTTCTAGTACTTTTCTTCTATTTTATCATTGCTTTGTTTTCAGATTCAGTTTTAAACCATCTAGGATTTATTTCAGGGTGTGGTGTGAGGTATGGGGTCTCTTTTCATTTTTTCTAAGCAGGTAATCAATTGCTCCAACACAATTATCTTTCCTCTCCCTCAATAAAGTTTTTATCTCTCTGGAATTAACATATTCATGGTACAAAGAACTGAGAAAAATGGAAATATCAAACAAGCAAATAATATCTTTAGAATCCTCAGGAAAAAATGATAGAAAAATATCCTTCTCTGCACTCCTAGAACCTCATCAATAACCTGTTAGCTCATCCACCCAACTTTGATTATTTTAGTCTTCAGTCTTATTAAAAATAGCAGTATACTTACTAAAGCAATTGGTTAGCTTCTGTATTCTAAATTTATCATGATAACTAGCAGTAAGTCATCTCTCCCACTCCCTAAATAAACCTAACAACAAAAACCACTTTTCATCAGAAAAAGAGATCAAGCTGCCCTCCTTAGCTGGGGTTTACTGTAAATTGAGTAACAAATTTCCATGCATTATTCATGAAGGAGTTAACACAGACACACAGAAAAGAAAGAGCTAATCAACACAGCAGACAACATAAGCCTACTTAAGAAATGTTTCTGGTTGCTGAACAACCAACTGAGTTTTATTTTTAAAAGTCTTATGGATCTAAAAGAAAAACAAGAAGAACCCTCATGTATGTCCAAAAATAACTGCAACCTGGTATCTAAATGAAGTTGAGATATCAAAAATCCATCTAACATGTGCCTCCACATGATATAGTCTTGTTTTCGGGGGGGGGGGGGGGGGGGGGGGAGGGATGGGGAAAGGTTAAATAAAAATGTCAAATTTTCTTGAAATAGGTCTATTTCTTAAATGTAGTGAATAAGCTAAGGTTGTACTAGGGCACAGTATTTACCCAGATAATATATTTACATAGGCTGACTAAATGTTTAAACATTCACTGGACACAACCTGCTTTTTTTCTAATAAGCAGTCCACCACTGAAGTCTTCTTAAGACTTTTGGAAAATATACCATAAGCATAGCTACTCCAACTTACCTTGTTCCCCACTCTTTCTGAGATCGGGTATACGTCCTTTATTGTTTATACACTGGCTCTCCTAAGCAAAAAGGCAACATCTTTTATATTTTGAAAACGTGCAGTTCTGTCACTAGGATTTCCACAACCATTCTCATCATCTTGACTAGAGTGATTTAGTTTTTGACACTAATCCTCTCCTCCAAACAATACACATATTTTAAACAGGGATATAAAGATAGCAATATTCTAGGCTATAGAATGACAGTAAGTGAAGATTTGGGAATTTTTTTTTAATATATCACAGAATCCATGAGATGTGTTTGGTGTAGGAGGTGCAAAAAGCAGTTTCTTTCTTGACAAACACCAAGTTCACCGTGCACTAGAATCAACAGCATATCCTAGGGGACTGATGTTCACAAATGAAGGACATGTACCAACTAGTAATCATTTCATGCCTGGAGCAAGAGCGAGAAGTGTGTGCACAAGGGACGGTAGGGCCTGCAGGTGAGGATTAGGTGAAGGGGAGATTCATTACATAGCAATTATATTTTTATTGGGTGTATTTTTAAGCCAAAATAGGAAAAAAAAATGAAAGCATCCTCTCCCCCAAAATATGTTGAGCTTTTAAACAAAAGTCTAGAAGCACTTAAGTTTGAAAACAATTCTCTCTGCATTTGTTATATCTTTGAAGGTGATGAGGAAAGGGGGATAAAAAGATTAATCAAACAATTAAAACCTAGAATAGTAAGAAATGAAAAATCCCCCTGGCTTTCTGCCTTTAAAATCCACATTTCAGTGGTCTGCTTCTATTAATCCAAATGCCCTGGAAGCAGCTATATTTTTCAGATTTTTGAGTGATGGCTATTTCCCTTAAATCCTGATATGATAACTAATCAAATTAAGGAGGCACCACTCATTTAAAAGGAAAAGAGAGCAGAAGAGACTCCCAGATGGGAGAGTGTTGTACAGAGGAGCTCACTCTGCCTGGGGCTGAGGTCCTCTGGGGTCTGAGCTGCTGCAGGGCTCCGACGGCTCTGCACTGAGGAAGTCCTCCCTTCAGGGTGGGCTCCTGCTCTGGGGGACCAGTTCTTACCACTTCTAGCACACCTGATCACGGAAATGAGACCTCTCACAACGTATGGACACAGATAAAATTACCTGTGTGCTTCCAGACATGACTTAAGGCTATAAGACTTACTACATATTTAGCAATGTCAAAAACTTGAGGAGTCACTGAGACCCTCACACCCTATTTCATCCTTCTTCACATCAGTTATCATATACTATACAATCTTATTTTATCAATTAAAAAGTCCCAATCTGAGCTCAATTTCTTTAAGAAAAACAGTCAATTTGAAATTTCATAACAAATTATTATTCTGTCTTTTGAAAGTAAATTTAGTGCAGAGACAAAAAGATGAGTGCATCAACTAACTTTTTATTTATTTACACGCAATTTTCTAGTAAATATCTACATGCTAAAAAGATGCCACAGGAAACAAAAACAAAATCAAAACAAAACAAACAAAAACGGTGCAGAGATTCACCACTTCCTAGGAACAGTGCTACTCTCAAAGAAAACTAAAAGCACACAGGGGTTTCACAATTTGTTTTAAAACATCCTCATTAATGCCTTCTTTGTTGTTTTGCAGTTTAAATATTTCAGTTGATAAGCCAGCTTGCCAAAAATTTGCTTCAACAAAAGAGTAAACTGCTTGGGAAATGAAAAAAAAAAATAGGAGGCAAACAGACTTCAGTAAGCCAATATGTTGTGCTGCATACAGCCAGCATTTGCCCTGTAAAATATATGCTTCTCAGTATGCAGATTGTGTAATCCCTTTAAGTAACAATTACAAAGTTAAACAATGCAATCTGTCCCACTGGCAAGAATTGTGCTATGCTGTGGATTAGAAGATTCCATTAGGAGATGAACTCAGCTTCCAGCCCTGAGGCCAGGAAAGGCTGAACAGGGTCCAGACAGGACGCTGTCACAGAGGCAGGCTCAGGTGTGGTGAGAGAGGAGCAGATGCTCCATTCAAGATTATACCTTGCAAACCAATTCAAAGAGACTGCCCAGCATCATTTGCAAGAATAACAGGTGTACCTTGAACATAAAAGAAAATGCTTTGATTGTTCTGGCCAAAAAATACTTGTTAATTCAGGAAAAGAGGAAAACTGTGCTAGACCTAGGAAAATTCTACTTTCCAACTTATCCATAGGTTCAAATTCCCTTCCCACTGAATTATGTGGAAAATATATATTTCACATAATTAAGAATTATTGTCCAGTCTTTTTATCTTAATTGTTATTGGTGGTATATTTCCAACATAGAAAATTAAAGACATATATCCACATATAAAAGCTTTGCCAAAATTTAACAGATCTTAACATTTTGCCATATTTTCTTCAATCTCTGTTTCTACTGACAACAATAAAGTGTATTAAGCTAAATTCCATGATTCCTTTTCTAAGAATAACTTCTTTCCTGAAGTTGAAAGGTACGATTCCTATACATTTTTAGTTTTTTTAACACATACACACATACACATACTCATAAAAATACACTGAATTGCTTTGTATATCAATGTCTAGAAAATATAAACAATGCCAACAAATCAATAGAAAGATAAGCAACCCATTATAAACTTAGAGGCCACTGATAGAAGTGAAACCCGAATGGCCAATATATTAAAAACTGTTCAACCTCACTAGCAATCGGGAACCCCAAATTAAATAGTAAGATACCATTTAACACCCAAAAGATTGGATAGGTTTTATAGATCATGTCACTAAGAAAATAAACAAAGTTGGAGAATTTATACCAATAATCTATTTCTAATATAGAAATGGACAGATATGTCAAATAGCAACCAGATTCTTCAATCATATCCAGTGACTTAAACATATTTTGCTATTCATGATGATTTTTGTGTATTCTTTGGTCTCATTTTATATAAAATCATATGACAGCATTAAGTTTACCTTAGCTAGTAAATATCAAATTAATGCAAGAAATATTTTACTATCCAACTTTGCATGGAAGTCAGTTATGAAATCATGATAAAATAACTAATTTTTTTCCAAAGGAGACACAGTTAAAAACACAATTTGAGAAATAATTTTCATTAATTTTTTTCATTTTAACAAGAAAATCCTAATCACAGCTTTGAACCTCTATGTCCATCACTCTGTATAAAAGACCCTAGAATTAAACAGTCCCTGGGAGTCATCACTGACCCAATCAACACCACCTAAATGAAACTGAACTTCAATCTGGTAATGAATCCATGACTTGAGAAATAGAACGTATCTGACTGGCTACTCCTACAACTCAACTCCGCATAAACAGTGACCTCTGGAAAGTTACACACAAGGTTCTCCCATAAACGAGTTGGCATTCCCTTTGTACCTTGGGAGGAGAAGGTGGAAGGGAGGGACCATAGTTCAGGCCATCACTACAAGCACTGCTGTGAAGAGATAAAATAGAGGCTGGAGTAGAGTAGATACTGTCATCGGGAGAGTAGTGAGACTCAAATGCAGATTCATCGGCTAAGTCAGCATCGTTTGTGTCCACCTAGGGATAAAAACAATAATGTCAGTTGGAAATTCTGTTCTATTACAAAGTCTCCACTTGAGACCAAAAGGTCCCTGGTATCATTCCTTTGTCTGTGCTATTTTCTACATGACCTCTTCAACCTCTTCAACACCTCAGAGGCTAATGCAAGAGTACAAGGATGAAGTGCTCACCTGCAGCTGAGCCTGCTGGCGTCACAGGCTATTTTATTCCATCAATAAGGGACTAAAGGTAACAATCAATAAAGGACCTGGTTCAATTCTAAGTTTAGAAATGTCATAAATTAAGGGAAATATTTGCCTTTTTCCCAGTTCACATTATTTTAAAATAATATCTGCCCAAATCTTAGAATTTCCTAATAAAATGAATGAGGTCAGCTCTTTTCCTATTCAACTAAAATAAACTTCTTCAACAGGACTGTGAGGCAATCCTCTATTCATAAATTACACCAAGACGATATATTTTGTTTAAAATGCCTTTAAGTAGATTTAAAAACCATTCAACAGACCCAGAACTTGATGGTGATCATCAGAAACCAAAGAGAAAAATCTGGCATTTCATGCTGAAATTACACTGGCAAACAAGGTGCCTAATTATGATCTAGTTATGGTAAAACTATTAGTTATAAACGGCTATTGTTGGAAAACTCACATAGAGTGAGGTAGCAAATTTCACTAAGTATTATCTAAAAATCCTATTACTATCTTCTGTGGCAGAACCAAGTGAAAGATTCAAGGCATGATAACTCTGAAGCTCTCCTTACAATTCACTCACTGTTACATCTAAGAATAGGTAGAACTGACATAAATACTACCCTTATACAATACTACCACCCTTTTCTGCTTTAATGGTAAAACCTGGTATGTTCTATTTCTTTGTGATTTCAACTTACACATTTTAGCCAGGAGAAGTTGCACTAAAACATTACACCAGGTCACATTCTTGCAAAAAACATGAGAGGAATACAGACGAGCAATTTCAAAATGAACTTCTCTAATAACATTTCTTCAATACATGTTCAAATTCACTAGTGAGTATCTATGTGGAGATTTATCTTTTATGAATGTACATTATGTACCATAATCCAAACATTAAATATTTAACATTTGCTATCTACATAGATAGTAATAACTAAGTCTTGGGCCATAAATTATAATAAAAAAATATTTAAGTAACACTAAAAAAATGTCTCAAATAATTTGTCTAACTTTAGTTGATGCCTCAGAATCTTAAAAGACATCCTAACAATCAATTCATCTAATTATTGTAAAAATAAAAACGCCAGGGTCCAGAAAAGTTGAGTGACCAGTAGAAGATTATACAGCTAGTTAGGGAGAAGGCCCAGGACACTTCCTACCATAAGATGTTGAGCTCACGGGAAAATGGAACTAATCTTCTCTTTGACTGGTATTCATTTAAGGAGATTCAAGGAAGCCGTGTCAACTCTAGAAAAAAATGTATATCTCGGGGCACTTTTAGAGACAATGATACATTTGTGACCTACCACATTTCAAAAGAATTTTCTATGGCTGAAGACTATTTGACATATTTATACCATAGTACTTTATGTAGTTCATAGAGTTCTAAACTATCTAGTTTTGAGGTGTTAACACAATCCTATCTAATAAAAGAGTATTATGCAAATTGACCATCACTCCAACACACAAGATGGCCGCCCCCATGTGGGCACAAGATGGCCACCACAGGATGGCCTGCAGGGGAGGGCAGTTGTGGGAGATCAGGCCAGCAGGGGAGGGCAGTTGTGAGGGACCAGGCCTGAAAGGGAGGGCAGTTGGGGGCAACCAGCCCTGCAGGGGAGGGCAGTTGGGGGGACCAGGACGGCAGGGGAGGGCAGTTAGGGGCAATCGGGCTGGCAGGGGAGCAGTTAGGCATCAATCAGGCTGGCAGGGGAGTGGTTAGGGGCAATCAGGCAGGCAGGCAGGCGAGCGGTTGGGAGCCAGCAGTCCTGGATTGTGAGGGGTCCTATATTGGAGAGGGTGCAGGCTGGGCTGCGGGACAGCCCCCCCATGCACAAATTTCGTGCACCAGGCCTCTAGTCCTATATAATAAAAGGCTAATATGCAAATCGACTGAACAGCAGAACAACTGGTCGCTATGACGCGCACTGACCACTAGGGCGCAGACACTCAACGCAGGAGCTGCTCCCTGGTGGTTAGTGCACTCCCATAAGGAGAGCACTGCTCAGCCAGAAGCCCTGAGCTGGGCTCATGGCTGGCGAGTGAAACAGCCATGGCAGGAGCCCCTCCCACCTCCACGGCAGCACTAAGGATGTCCGACTGCCAGCTTAGCTCAGCAGGCCTAAGCTGTCAGTTGGACTTCCCCCGAGGGCTCCCAGACTGCAAGAGGGTGAATTTCATGTGCTGAGGGACCCACCCCGAGTGCACAAATTCCATGCACTGGGCCTCTGGTATTAGCATAATGTCCATAGAGACCTGTTATCTCCTTAAAAGGTAGGCAAAATGCTGATTTCTGGCTAAATACTGAAACAGTAAAAGAATGCCTAGAAAGACTCAGTATGAAATGAGAGCAAATAAGTGCTCTGACAACATTTGGTATGATGTAAAGATTAATTCTACCTGTTGACATAATGCCTTGCTAAATAAATTTTCCACGAATCCAAAAAATAATTTTCACATAGGTTTGTTTTTTCCCCATTTTGAATTATTAGAACTATTGGAGTTGACAAGAAAATGTTCTGTTTCACAAATATAATGAAAAAAGAATACAGTAAGACTTTAGAATATTTTGCAAGATAAAATAAGACATAAGATTTTTTAAAGAAAGCTTGAAAAGCTGTGGCCACTAACCAGAGCCAAGTCAGCCCTGAAGAGGGCTTTGTCAGCCAGCCCTTCCTCCTGGCAGGAGTGTGGGGGGTAGAGGAAGGAATCCTCCTTGGCAGAAACATAACCTTCTTCTGGCGAAAGCTGCAGGGAGAATGAAGTCCAGCGAGTGAGGATGCGATCATGAAAAGGAAAGAGAACGGAAAGAGAGGGAAGAGGGGAAAGGGAGCAGAAGAAAAAGTTAAAGGAGGAGAGAAAAAAATGGGAAATTTTTCAAATGATACCACATGACTTTAACATAGAACGATGAACATAAAATATGATAAATATTCATATTTAACATTTGTATTTGTTAAGTTACAATGAGGATATTTATTTGAATACCAACACCATCTGTTAGATAAGAATCCTTTTCAACTAATTTTTTCATCCTTCTCATAAAAGATGATCAAAATCAATAATATAACAAAATATTTTATATTAAAGTAATCATCTGGTCATTTTTATCTGACAAATATTCTGGCTAAACAAGTTCTTAATATAGAAATAAGGCAACTTTTATCACACTGACAGGAAACCTAACATCTTTATTCCAACCTCAGAGAAAATAGGCTAACATCCTATATAATAAAAGGCTAATATGCAAATCGACCAAACTGCGAACGAGTGGTCGCTATGACGTGCATTGACCACGAGGGGGCAGACACTCAATGCAGGAGCTGCCCTGGTGGTCAGTGAGTTCCCACAGGGGGAGCGCTGCTCAGCCAGAAGCTGGGCTAAAGGTTGGCGAGCACAGCAGTGGTGGTAGGAGACTCTCCCACCTCCACAGCAGTGCTAAGGAGCAGCGAGCCAAGCAGTAAAGAGCACTGAGCAGGCAGGTAATAAGGAGCGAGGGCTCCTAGACTGTGAGAGGGATGTCCGACTGCTGGCTTAGGCCCACTCCCCATGGACATCCCCCACGGGATCCCAGACTGCAAGAGGGCGTAGGCCGGGCTGAGGGACACCCCCTCCCCTGTGCATGAATTTCATGTACTGAACCTCTAGTAGTTAGATAATTGTCATGCCTACATCACCTTGTATCATCGATTACATACAAAAGTATTTTAGGAAACAAAGTTTCTCTTCTTGTTCCACAAATACGAGTTAGTAGATAGTAAACTTCTCTTTATATAAAATATATTTTTCATATTATTGCAATGCACATGGAATTTGAAATAGTTAACATTCTCATGAAAGAAATTTAATTTGGAACTAGCTAGGGAAAAACAGTATGCTTTTTAATAACTGGCATGGATCCTCCTAAGAGCAGTAAAAACATATATGGAATTAATGTTTGCCATTTTCTTTATTGAACAATAAGACTAGAACCAAATGTATGGTCAATCTTAACATACAGGGTGGGGCAAAAGTAGGTTTGAGTCATGAGTATGTGAAACACAGAGTTTCTTCTTGTATTAGTATTTATTGATTATATTATTTTCCATATGAAGAACTGTAAGCTCACTTTTGCCACACCCTGTATATGCAGAGTCCCAATGGCCTATCTTCATTTTTATATCCCCCCTCATATCGATCTTCTGTTGTGATTTCTACAATTCTGGTTTGATTTCAGGTTAGATTAACATATTCTTCCTCCTTCCCTTCCTCTCCCTCTTTCTGTTTTTATAAATATATTTTCATAGGTTACCAATTCTTTGTGGAGTAAAAACTGAAGCACAAAAAATGTAATTAACATTTAAAACATATTAACAAAGCTTACTATTTCAGTCAACAAATTTTTCCTTGATGTTTATGCAAATATATCCATGTGTCTGTCGTTTCTTAGGAGGAGTATTTGCCCTTTCACTTAAGAATACATTTATACACTGAAAAAAAACAACAACAAAAACTCCCAAAGAGTGAGAATGTCTCTCAGATTTCACTGCAACTCAGTCTTACTGGTAAGTGCTGTGTTGCAATCACTTTACCTACTAAACGTATTGGCATTATGTAAGCATGCCATTGGTTATTTTTAATATTGCAATAATTAATGACATGAGGGCTCTTCCCTCCCTCAGGAAGCCACGCGCTGATGAATCCACTTTGGAAAGTTCAATTTCTTGCTTTGCAGTAATTAGACAACAACTGTGTTGAAATTGACAGAATGTAGGACCTCAAGCCACTCTACAGAGATTCTACTTTATCCCACCCAAATTAAAGATTCTGCTGCTAGTTGTTAATGCTGTTAATTTCTCTAATACTCTACTAGATTGGTATAGATATTTTAAGGCATTATTTATTTGAAAATATTTCATTCTGTATTACCATGACATTATTATCAAATACAAAAGGTGAAAAGTGAAGCACAAAACAATGTTACTGATTTATTTCTGAACTTTCTATTTTATTTCCTTTATATTTAAAAAAATATTATTCAACAATAAATTTTTATTCTCAAAAGCCAGTAACAATTGTGTTTATAAAAGGTACCAAAAGTCATGATTCATCATAAGAACATGTGAAGCTAAAAATAAGCGCAGAAGCCATTTTATTTGCAAATATTGAAAAGAATCAGTAAAATCCAAATTCTTACGGGTAAAGGCTTGGCAACTCCTATTTTCACCGTGCCTGACGGGGCCCCCTTCAGGGCCTGCACAGCTTCCTCGAGACTGCTGCTCTCCAGGTTCACGTCGTTGACAAACATGAGGCGATCCCCAGGAAGAAGGCGTCCATCCTTTTCAGCAACACCGCCAGGAACCAAAGAACGAATTACGATCACAGTGCTGGCTGGATCCACAGGGTCCTGACAGAAGGCAAAAGGACAGAGCAGGCAGCTCCATTTTACACTGGGAAATATGTTCACAGGCTGCTCCCCCTGAACTGTAATGGACGGGTGTCTTTAAAAAAATTCGTCAACCCTTCTAATGAATTATCTGGGCAAAGGTTCCCTTTACTCAAGAGTTTAGGAAGAAATCACCCTAAACAAGGCTCCCTCTCTTGGCATCATTCTTGAGTTGACCTTTCAAATTGTACAGATAAGTTTAAAATAATTTTAACTTTTGTCAAATGTTATAACTATCATCTGAGGGTAGACAGATGTCAGATATATGAATTATTAACACCAGCGTTTGTTTGTTTAATAGGGAATAACGGCTCTGGAGCATCAGTAGTTGTGAGTATACTGAAGGGTAGGCCCTCTCTCTTGAAATAAGGAAGTGTAAAGAGAGGCCGTACAGAATTTGGTGACGCAGTGTAAGATATACAGCAACGTTAGTATTAGCACAAGGCTCCAGAATCAGGCCCTGTGAACGACACAACCCAGGGGAGTCATCGGAGATGGCAACTGGCTCAGTATTAATTAATGAGGAGCAACAGCTGTGTCTATCCAACGGGCTGCAGCATTCCCTCAGCTACTCACACTACAGAACACAATGCAAGGTAAGGATACAGTCACATTTGACCAATTTAAGCTTATTCATAAATTTAGTCAAAGGACAGGAATGCTGGAATTTATAATATAGCCAATTATAAATCTCTAATTCACTTCAGACACAATAAATATCTAATACTTTCTGTCTTACCATTAAAATATGAACCATCGATTAAGAGCATGGAAATAAAAATAGTTTGGACATACTCCCCAATGTCCAAAACAACAAAACAAAATAATATTTCTACTAAATTCCTCAAGAGTTGCAATATAAAAGAGCTCAAGGAATTCAATATTTTTAAAAAATCCTTTAAGATAATCAATGAATCATAAATTACTATTTTGAAGGTTTTACTAGGAACAAGAAAATGCCTTTGATGACTAAAATGTTATCTGCCTTTTTTCTATCAACATGTCTTTGTATATATCATCTTTTATTTTTAAAAACTGTTAAAAGTCGGATTTACCTGATAATCTAAAATGCTAAAGCCAAGTCCTTTGCTGCCTTTCTCCAGCTCAATGTGCTGAACGTCCACCTCCCACATGGCCAAAGGTCCGTGAACCTTCCCTGGATCCCGACCCACATCGGGCATCTCCAGCGCAGGCTCCTCGGTCTCCGAAGACCCGATGAACTCGCCGAGATCTACGTGAGGCTGGTGACAGACCAGACAGCTCTTATTTCAGAGGCACTAGGTGAGCGGATACACATAACAGCACTCCAGGAAAAAGGGAGATTCTCAGTGTCTTTCCAGAAAAAAGTACTCTCAAATAAGGGTAGCAACAGCTTATCAGGAAACCCTTAGGAATTAAGGTCATAGTTACTGAAAGTTATTAGACAAGAAGAAATGCCTAACTTATGACAGGCGCTAAAATTATATGGTTCTTTTTATAAATTTTTATTTATTTTTTAAAGTATTGGAGATCTCCCCCTCTTTTTCCCCCCTGACCCCCTCCACACCGCACCCACTCTACCCCCCAGGCCTACTGCAATATTGTATGTGTCCGTGGGTTATGCATATAAGTTTTTTGGTTAATTACCTACCCCCCCTCTTCCCTCTGAGATTAAAAAAAAGTATGCACCAGGCTGTCGTGGCTCAGTGATTGAGCATAGACCTATGAACTAGGAGGTCATGGTAGGAATCCCAGTCAGGATACATGCCTGCATTGCCAGAGGCAGCTGATCAATGATTCTCTCATCATTGATATTTCTACATCTCTCTCCCTCTCCTTTCCTCTCTGAAATCAATAAAAATATATATTTTTAAAAAGTATGGTTTAAAGATCTTATATAAAAATATTCAAAGGGCACAGGCCAGTGTTACTAAGTGGTTAGAGCTCAACCTGTTCACAGAAGTGTCTCAGGTTCAATTCTTGATCAAGGGCAAGTACCCAGGTTGCAAGTTTGATCTCTGGCCCCAGTCGGGGCAGATGCAGGAGGCACCTAATCAATGTGCCTCTCTCACATAGATGCTTCTCTCTCTATCTCTCTCTCTCTTTCCCTCTCTGACCCCTATTCCCTCTAAAAAAATCAATGGAAAAATATCCTCCTGTGAGGATTAACAAAATATATATAAATACAACAGTTACATCTCAGAGCATGATTGTGGGTGATTTTCACTTATTTCATCAGTGTCTGAATCACCTCCGTATCAGAAGAAAAACAGCAAGCTATTTTGATAAAAAGTAATTATGATAAATAAGAATTCATGAAGAAATGGCTCAATGTAAAAGTTCCATGTTTTATGCATCTGTCTTGTACACAAGATTATTTCATTAATAAATTAACGTGCACAGTTGCCAGACAAGATTTGAAGTCAGAAGGGCTGGGGCTTGAAAATTTTTTCTAGGATTTCTCATGTGCTGCCTTGAGCAATATTCTTAACCTGGGCTTCGTAACTACCCATCTCATAGATTTTTGAAGATTAAATGAGGTAACGATGATAAATCATCTGGTACAGAAACAGAGGCTCAAACTGTTAGCTTCTTTGATAAAAATACATTAAAGTGACTCTAGATTAATTCAGCTGTTAATCTAGACGAATACATTAAATTCTAGTTTGCTCTTCGCTTTTATTCAATTATTGCATAGCCTAGGACCATGGATGCAAATCTGTCCACTTGTTTTATTGTAATAATCACAGTTATATCACATAAAAATGTGTATGGTTATGTGGGGTACTACATAACTACAATTTGGACTTACGTTTATTATTCTACCCTGTTCTAATCACCCATGTGAATATTAAACTATACACTTTATTCTTCAAAGTTTTCAAAATTATCTCAATTTACTGATTCCTTCAGTATAATGTAAATCAAATCCTAACATCATCTCTCATTATATCTTAAAAGGGATTTCAATTAGATTGCAAATATACAAAGTCCAATTCATAACTTCAGATATCTACTGTGAATCTTCGGAAAGGCCAATGAGCTCCATTTCTTGACATTTTGATCTGAATGGAAAAGAATGAGCAAACAGAAAAATGGGAATTTCTGGATGTCACAGAGTATTATCTGACGTAGTATTACGAGTTCAAATTTCTCATTTTTAAAGTATTGATAGTGTGCAAATAAGACCAACACATGCAGAAATGATGTGTCCATCCATATTTTAACCATTCCCTGAGCAGTAACTGTGTGCCAGGCCCTGAGCTCAGCAGGTTACATAAAAGTATCACTCACCACATAGATGGTATATACTCACTATTTACATACTTCAATTTTCTGCTCCATGAATGGGGACAACACAAGTATTGACTTCACACTAGTAGTATGAATAAATTACATAAGCATATCATGGGCAATGAAATAAAATATCCATACAAGACCTTATTTTAGCTGCAGAGTAATGCTCCAAGACAGGCAACATGACTTACATTGCACAGAGGAAAAAACTGAGATTCAGAAAAGTGAAGTGACTTGCCCAAGGTCCCAGAGGCTACGAAATGCCAAGCCTGATTCAAACCCAGGTCTGTCTGACTCCGAGGTTTATCTTATAAGCCATGGCACAATGTAAGGAAACCAAACACCAAATAAAAGAAAAGAGGCCTAAAAAAATTTCAAACACCATTTAGCCTTTCCATTATATATTCAGATTAGTCTTATATCCATTAGCCAATACCTTTTCTGTTAGTTCAATGTCACAGAGGTCCAGGCCATCCAATTCTGACTGGGTGGTGGGTGGCACAGTTCGACGACAGCACACCATGGTCACTTCTATAGGCAACTCTTTTAAAATGTTCACCACATCTTGGTGATTTTCCCCAAGCAATGTTATGCCATTCACCTGAGGAAAAAGAGAAGTTGTCCAAGAAAGAACATTTCATAGCATGAATATTCTTTAGAGAACCATTTTTCATTAAGTAAATATAAATTTTACTATTACCACAGTTCTCCTGTGCTCAGAACTGTAATTGGACTCGTAACAACACTATTGAAAACGTTTTACACACAAGGTTAGAGTCTGTTGGATTTGGACCTTCTACAGCACTCAGAAAAATCACTAGCTTGCATCCATGTTTGATCTCCCAGAGTAGTAGTTTGGAAGAAAGAGTTAATAAAAACTTCCCCAAAGGATGAATGGGAAAAGGGATTATTTTAAAAATTTACATTTTATATTATTATTAAGTGAAAATGTCAAAATGGAAAATGGCACATATTATGCACTAGCATGCTTTTTATAAAAGCGAGGCAAAAGAATACATTCATATTTCGTATTTATGCTTAAAGATATCCAGAAGGTTGCACAGAAACAAATGTAATTAGTTATCTAAGAAAGGGAGATAGGAACTGGGTGAATTGGAATAGGAAAAAGGCTTTTTATTGTAAAGCTTTTGCATTCTTTGTGATTTTGAAATATGTAAATGTTATTACATATTCTACAAATTGAATAAATGTTTTAAAAATTTTAAAGAAGTTTTTATAGTTCTCTTTAATTAAAACAAACTAACTCAGCATGGAATACGTCTGAAAATCAGTCCAAATATAGATTTGAAATTTCTGCTTTGGGTGGAATTTTATTTGTAGATCTCCCTTGAGTATCCTTTAGAGGGGAAATTTAAGTAAGAACTTAATTATTCACCATGAAACCTCCTGCAGCCTTTTAAGAATTCTCTTTGGGGAGGGAGGGTAAAATGGCATAGCTCTTACCTCTAATAGCTCATCTCCACTGAAAAGCTTCCCACTGTGTCCAACAGGACCTTCCGGTAGAACAGATCGGATAAAATGATGTCCCACTGTTGCTTCCAGACTTATCCCCAAACCACTGCTCTCACTGAACTTGCTCACATGCGCCACCTAAAAATATAAAAATCATCACAGTTCTAATATTCTTTTATTTTTTAATTCTCAAATATGTATTTTATTAGTGGCTCGGTGCATGGATTTGTGCACATTGAAAGGAAATTAATTAGAGGGTGGCTGATGGTGAGGGGACTGGGCGAGATGGGCTGGACATGCCCTGGAGCCAACCTCCCTTGGTTTCTTCCCCCGCTGGTCGCACCTGGGGTAGCACCGGGCCTCAAAGAGCTTCTGCTGAGTGAGCAGGGTCCTTCTGGCAGGTGGGGTCCCTCGGCCTGGCCAAAACCCGCTCTCGGACATCCCCTGAGGGATCCCGGAGTACCAGAGGGCACTCTGCAAAGTTGCTGTCGTACAGGGTGTGGAATGCAAATGCAAGTGTGCAGTAAACCAGATTTGGGCCGATGGTGCTCCAGCAACAATATAACCCTCAGCCAAAGGTGCAATCGTGTGGGCCTGTGAGGAATTGGGCTCCCTCCACTCTGGTTCCAGGATGCATCACCCCAGAACCACCACTGCCAAGTCACCGCAGCTCAGCAGCTCCTGTGTTGAGTGTCTGCCCCCTGGTGGTCAGTCCGTGTCATACCTACAGGCTGGTTGGATGGTCGCTTAGCCTGATAGATAGATAGATAGATAGATAGATAGATAGATAGATAGATGATAGATAGATAGATGTTTGCTCAAAGCAGATCAAGTTTCTCACAAAAGTTCAAAAACCTTATTATAAAGTAGCAAAGCTTTGCCTTTGAAAGAGTACTGATTATCTGTCAGTTTCATGAAACAGCAGAAACCAAAAGGAAGCAGCGAGATGCAAGAACCTCAGATACTTTGCTGTGCCTACAGACACTGATAAGGATGGAAGGTAGTCTAAACTGCTACAGATAAAACGAACACCTGAGCTCAAACAACAGTATAGGAAAGACACCCACTTGGCGCTTACTTTGTGCCAGGGACTGTGCTAACCCCACTACACAGAATCTCATTTTCTTCTCAGGAATAGATAGTTTCTATCCTCGTTTCCCAGAGAGGTTACCTTAACCACAGTCACACAGCTAGAAAAGAACTTTGAAACTCAGCTGTCTGAACCTAGAGCCCACACTTCTCACTTATGCTGTTTTGAGGGACAACAATGGTCTTTAAAAGTCTTCCAGGACCCCACTCACAAGGCCCATCAATCCTCCTTTCTACTGCACCACTTCCCCCTATGATTACATTTATGCTGTATAACTATGTCACCAACAAATTAAAGTCAGATCTATGTCTAATTTACTTTTGTTGAGAGCCAGTAAATAGCTTAATTCTTTTTTACTTACAGCACACTTCTGCCCTTGACAGATTGGGAGTGCCATGCGCACAAAGGCCATTAAAAGGTCCCAGTCTCAGGTCTGACATCTGACTAGTCAACACTTGCCTAGTCAAAAGGTTCCCTTCACTATTCAGTTACCAGCAGAAGAGGTGCAGTCTCAGTTATGCAAGCCAGCTTCCTCATAGATGCAACATCTCAACTTTCTTTTCATGTTAAATTCACAACAGTGAAGCTGCACTTTATTGTATTTTTTCCTCAATGCAATTTAAAATGGTAATAACAGCTGTACTTACTCATTTCTTAACTGACAGTTAAACATCTTGAGTGTTTAAAAAAAAGATCATTGTCATGAGTATTCAATGAATACTGCTTGGCACAAAGTACTCAATAAATGTTAGTTATTAATAATATATGAAATCTGCTGTCTTTTATCTCTTCTAATCTAGAGTTACTTGGATATTATAAGCAATAAGAGAAATTCAAACTAATCTAGTATTACATTTTCCTTTTGAAATCCCTGAAATTTGCTGGTGCACATCTAAAGGCTGGGAATGTGTGTCACCCTTGTTAAACCTCTTTTTAGGAAGCAAATGATAATTGCTATCCTAGCTATGCAAACTATTAATAAACATAAAACATTCAATATGGCGTAAGTGATATGAAAAAAGCGGACAGAAGTACACACCTCTTAAGGAAAATAAATACATGAGAGTGATAATAGGAAAACGTACTTTTACAATTTTGTATATAGGTCATGATTCATTTTTGTTTTATCTTTAAGTAAACACTGTCATTGTTTTCTGATTCTTTCTATGAATCCCAAGTTTAATAATCAGAAAAACAACCTTCCTAGTATCTATATAAGATATACTACCACCAAGAATATTAAAATATTGATGATTTATGAGTTCTAAAACTTCAATGCCATTTATTTCAGTTCCCTGGTTACAATCAAACTTTCCCCAAATTGAATTTTTTAAATACCTGAGTCAGCACATTTAGATCTCTGAAAAAAACGCTGGACATTTGCTATTTCTCAAAGACACTGTATGACCAACACTTTTATTGCTCTCATGAACTTCTTCATCAAATACAGTTACAAGTGAGGAAGTTGGGGAGGGTAAGGTAACCTACCACTATTTCATAATTAATTCCCATAATCCTTTGCCACTTTTTCAGCAGGGCAGCTTCCCGTTGCTGTGCATCTTCCATTTCTTCTATTTCAGCTAACAGCAAGGGATACCCTGAAACAGTCAACACAATTAAGTCAGTGACAAACCACAAAAATTATCCTTATTTTAACATTCTGTACCAGTGGAGATCAGAACCTGTCTATCATACAAAGTCTGACTCATCACCCAATAGGTGCTCTACTTCTCTACATATTTAGAACCCTAACATCTGCATGTTCAAACACTACTTTCTTTTCTGAGAAGTCTTTTAAATCTTGACCACATTGCCATTAAAGTATCCATATATTATCTGACATGTATTTAAAAGAACCAGGGCCCCGAGTCCCTCCAGGTTTCACTTGGTGGTCTTTTGGTGTCTCTACAGCCAAAAACCATGCTGCTTTTTATGTTAGTTTATCTACTTCATTTTCAATTGGTTCTACAGAGTAAAGAAGAACCAAGCCACACCTTAACAAAAACAGACAGAAGAAATTAACAAAGAATATATGCAACTCCATGTACAATGAGTATAAAAATTAGAAAAACTTGAGAAACAGAGTGCACATTAAAGTAAAACCCCATAATTGGAATTGCACTAATTGGTAAAAAGAAAAAAAAAATTTGGAAAGAAATTCACTAAACAAATTATATAAACACTATTGAATTAAAATATTTAGCTAAAGTAAGAAAATGGTTGAAAAGAATTTGCAAGTCATATTCAAATATTTCCATATTTCATCATAGTTTGTCCTCATAAAGGTTGTCTTTAAAAAAAATCTCTACAAGGCACACTCTAAGTTAAAATTTTAATATCCTTTTTAGCATTCAAATTTCAAATGTAAAGAGTGTTGTAAAAATCAGATTTCTTGACTGCCTCCTATTTAACGGAATTAATGAGCTTTCACTCTAGGTCTATTCTGCACATGTTATGCCTTGAATTAATAAAATGAATCGGTTTCTCCTTGAGAAACTGAAAACAACAATATATATATAATTTTTTTTCAACTTGGAGACTAGCCCACCCAAATGAGTGTTTTCTTTTCAAAATTAAATTCAGTCCAGAGAGAATCACCACGCAGGGGTGAACACAGATTCTTTCAACTTGATAAGGGTTAGAAAGAGGAGTCAGCTCAGAGCCCTACTTCCTCACTCACCCCCCTTTCTCTGATTCTGCTGTCCATACAGAGCTGGGCAGTGATTCAAACAGGGTGGGCTTCTGAATGCAAAAAGTGGGGAATCTGTATGCTGGCTACTAACAAATCTGAGATCTGTCTTCATACAACCCACATGCACAATCCCCATTCTCCTCCTTCCCTAACTGCCCCAAGTCAATATTTCAGACAGATTTTAAAAATCATGAAGTCCAGTCCTCTGATCTTACTGACAGCCAAGTGACTGTGACTTATCCAGGCTCACACAATGAGTCAAATTTCTTTGGAGGTGGCAACTTACTCCCTTGTCTAGGGACCAAGCACTAGCATAGATGCATTAGAACACACATTTTTCCAAAGGAATTTGGGGGCCTTGATTCTCAGTCTAGAGCCTCACCCATCTATCTTTGCACACAAAGCCAACTACGTGGTCTGAGCTTCCAGACAATGCCCATATCCATCCCCACTTACTATCTCATTTTTGTCCTTTCTCCCTACTCCTGACACTCACTTACACTTTAGCCTAAATAATTTCTTCACCTATTAGTGTAAAAATGGCAGAATGCAATTAACACCAGTGAATCTTATGCATCTCACTTCAGGTATATCTTTGCAAACACAAATACTGCTTTAAAATAATAAAGGTAAATAAAAAATTTCAGCAAAAAATAATTTAATAATGGAGCAGTAGGTATTTTAAAGAACTACAAAGCTTCAATAAAATTATTTCGTGAAGGATGGGATTCAAATGAAGGGAGAGCAGTCTCGTTCTTTGCTCAGTGGATTTAAGCTACTGAACTACCGAGAGCAACCTGACAGAGAAGGGAGGCACATAGCTCCCAGGCTAAAAAGATCACCACAACACTCAGGCATAATTACATATTAAAACAATGTTGCTCTAAAAAATGTTTAAACAGCTTCATGGATCCCAGGTTTATAAGTGAAAGAAATCTAAGAAAGGCTTAATTTCTCTCTAATATTCCTTTTGGAACCAATTTCCCAATATTAAAGTTTCCCAATATTAAAGTTTTAAAAAATGGAGACGAAAAAGCCTCCCAAATTGGACAGTTTCATTCCTAGTAGCTTATGCTTTACAGATTCCCTGGTATTTATTTTAAATATGCTTTATAATTTTATGTTTGCTTGTTCATTAAGATAGACATATGTTGGCTGTACAGAAATATGGGGGTTGAAATAAAAACCATGTATTTACTGATTGAGTCGCAAAGGGTTCTAGTTTAAAAAAATGTAGATCGAGTCAGTAAGAAAATATGCCAGCTATAAATGAACTATTTCAATCTACTAGAGCAATTAATCATATATATAAATAAGGATTTAAAAGATCTCTTTTTTGAAAGTGTTCTTCTGTAATTTATAATATGTCCATAGAGGCTTATGCACATTTATAAAAGTCATTTATCTATAAAGCATACAAAGAACAAAACAACCTGCTCCAGGTGTTTACCTTCTTCCTCAATGGGTAATATGCTGGTGTTTCTCCTCAAACATAAAGAATCTTCATCTTTTTCATAATTTTCTTAAAGAAAAGAATATGTTAGCAGTTATATCTGTTATAGAAGCATTTGAATTTTTCAAACCCCACTGTATATATTTGAATCCCCAAATAAGAAACTGTTTAGGTAGGGAAACTCTTCAATAACTACTTATTCTTAAAGGAACGTTTTCTTGTTAATGGGAGAAAGAAGTAATAAATTTCTCCTGTGATCTGCCTCCCTGTCTCCTCGTACTGTAATAAGTAGTTTATGACATAAATACCAGAATGGTTAGCAGTTTGAGAAATGAAGCAGCACTTTCCAACCAACAGCCCGACTTCTACCAGTAAACCTTGAGCCCAGTGAGCTACAGAGGGATGCCAGTGTTTCCCAGAAATACTCCTGGGTAAGCAGGTTATGAATGACATTTCTAAATGGGAAATTAAAATCCATTCCTTCAAGGAAAGGCTGAGGAGTCAGAAACATCCTGGGGCTCAAATGCATAATCCAGGCAGATAGGTTCCGCCGAAGGAGAAAACATGATGAGGACATTGAAAAAGTAAGGAGGCACACAGCAAGGTAAATGACTGCGTATGTTTCGGAAATGGTGACTGAATAAATAGGACGGGAAGTAATCTGCTTTATTCCGAAGTCCCTTCTATAGTTAATGAACACATTCTTGTTCCAATTCACCCCAACTTTATTAAATTTCCTTTTTACTTGGTTCATACTAAATAGTGAAGACTAAAAACTATTTTTTAAATAACTTTAGAATTAGAAAAAAAATTGAAATGCTATAAGGGTGTAACTGAAAACCAGATCACTTGGCATTACCTTTGCTTATGCTGGCATTAGCAGGAGACAAAACCACATCTTTTGTGGCGTCCTCCCTTGCCGTGAGCTCAGCTTCCTGCTTCGTTCCTCTCCTCATCAGTGTCAGGTGCACAGTCTGTCCTGTGTGTCTCAGCACCTCTACTGCTTGTTGGTTGGTAAAACCCTGAAGGTTTGTACCATCTACCTGGTAAGAACAAGACATGTTAAAACTGGAATGGATATTTGTATTACCGATTCACCAAATGCGTATTTACTGCCTGTTAGTGTGAGCAGAATGGGGAGTGAGGATTCCCCTAGTAGGGAATGGGCTGACGCCTGTTTGGGGACCAGTACTAGTTTACAATCACTAGAATCACTCAGGAGGGTTTTGTTTGTTTTGCTTAATACAGATTATGGGGTCTCATTTCTAGAAATTATGAGCTAACAGTTATAGGGTGGGGCCCAGGATTCATACCATTAAAAATATTTGCTTCCACTCCTCGGCATCTAGGAAGCAGAGTAAGCAGGCTCTCCAGAGAATTTGTGGTAAAAAATGATGAACTGAGAGCTTTGTACTCAGTGTCATGTATGTGAAAATGAAATTATAGTTGAGATGCTACTCTTATTTATACCCTGTGCTAAACTAAGTTGTGAGAGGGGCCACCAAGAAGAAATTTAAATTAAGGGGTTAAGAACTAAACATTGTGTACATTTAGGACATGAAAGAGCTGGGTTGTTAAAGTAAGGGAAAATTTAAGAGGCCTGTTTTTGTTTTAAAGAGAGAAGAGTTCTGAGTCCCTACCACACCCACTTAGATGGTTCTTCCTTGACCTCAATTCAGAAGAGCTGTGTCACCTCAAGGAGGGAAGGATGCAGGGGACTGTGTGTAATTCCGCCAGGAGAATAAGAAAAAGGCTTTGACTGTGAAGCAAGAGAAAAGTGCTGTTATGTTGGGAACTGTTCAACAACCTGACTTTGTTGGAAAATAGACCAGAGAAATGCCACTCCCATGGAAAGCCAGGCTCAGGCCATGTTGAACCCCCTCAAGAGTACCCAGTAACCCTCGGGAACGATGGTACCCAAAAGAAAGAATCTACGGAATAAACTGCTGAGAAACAAGGGGCCAAAGGGACGAGAAAGTTAGATGAAAAATCCACTCTTTTCTATGTAAAGTGAAGTCAAATATCTCCACTAGGATCTCCCAGGAAAACAAATGTCAGAGATGGTAGTAGCACCAAAGAAATTGCTATAATGGAATAATCATGGACTTTCCATTACAGAATTCAGTTCAAATTACTCAGTATCTCCATCTGTCATATGGGAATAATGGTACTTCCCAAATTTACAGTGCATGGCACTCTGGACCAGGAAGATACTCATCAGCTGTTATTATTAGTAGCAGAGTGAAGAAGTGATCAATAAACATGAAAATCCCAAGCTTTCATGGGAGCGGTTTCTGTTCCATATAATTAGACCCATCATACCTATGAGACAAGGTCCCCAAAGCCTAAACCAGGCCCCAGGCCAGCTCTGGTCCCTCATTATCGAAGGAAGAGAGTTAAGCCGTGGCTTCAGATCCAATGGTGCCACAGACAAGACTGAAGTTCAGAAAACTGCCTTTGTGCTATCTCAAGAAGAGATCTAACATTCTCACAGTGCACAGTACAGATATATCAATTAACAGGAACAATTATAGGAAGAAATACTAGCTGGAACAATTCAAAAATCCCACCTTCTTAGCACACTCAATTAGCTGGCCACGCCCGCCTCCAACACAGCCTATACCTATATGTATAAAAAGTCACAGAACATCATAGGCAACATCTGACATCTTTCCATATTCACATGCTTGTTTAATAATATTTTGACTAATTATTACCTCATACTGCATTTAGCCAAGTTCTCTGTATATCAACCTAAAAAGAATGAGTGTATGTGTTTTTATTTAATGACAAGTTTGGCCAACTTTAAAAATAGAGTCCTTTAATCATATAATTCTTACATACTATATATACTAGTAAAGTGGGGGGGAAATGTGTTCATTTATTCTATTCTTTTGCCCTGTAAGGTCTATAGTGAAACCCTAGAGCACAATCTGTGAAACAGGAATCCTACAAAAAAAGTTTTAATGTTATAAAATAATAATTCCTCAAAACAGTAAGAAATAATTTCTTACTCTTCTCACCACCTCAACAATTATAAAGCAAAAATAATGTATAGCTCAAAATAGCTGTTACCAAAACAGAGATTGAGAAAAACAAATGCAGTTGTGAAAACACAACTGGTGTGAAGAACTTGACTACCACTATCTCAAAAGTCCACAAGATGGTGATATTTTGCACTAAATTAAGGCATAATCAAAGCATTTCATGATGTTCCCTAAGCATTTAAGGTGCTTCTAAAAATATTGCTTAAAGTCAAAAATCAGAACATTGATGATAATGAAGACAAGTGATTTTATTAAAAGAAAAAAAATTTCACAAGAAGGCTGCTTCCACTTTTGGGTCAACAATTTCCTTTATCACTGACCTTGCCTAAGCAAAATTATATTTAAGGTTCCACTTATCCTATATAATAAAAGGCCAGCCACCATAAGCATAACGACCTGAACAACCAGAGACCAGAACCACCACGGCCCCTCGCTGGGCTGGCCCCGCCCCCAAGCAAGTAGTTAGGGGCAATCAGTCAGGCAGGCAGAGTGGTTAGGGGCGATCAGGCAGGCAGACCAGTGGTTTGGGGTGATCAGGCAGGCAGACAGCCCCTCCCTGGCCTGGCTCTGCCCCCAAGCAAGTGGTTAGGGGCAATCAGGCAGGCAGGCAGAGTGGTTAGGGGTGATCAGGTAGGCAGGCCAGCGGTTAGGGGCAATCTGGTAGGCAGATGGCCCCTCGCCGGGCTGTCCCCCCGCCCCCCAAGCAAGCAGTTAAGGGTGATCAGGTAGGCAGGCAAGTGGTTAGGGGAGATCAGGTAGGCAGACGGCCCCTTGCAGGGCTGGCCCCACCCCCCAGCAAAGAAAGAGGGAGGCCCAGGCCACTTTGGCAGGTGTGCGGCCGGCCAGCGATTGCCCGCCAGTGGTTAGGGCGATCAGGTTAGGCAAAAGACCCCTTGAAGGGCTGTCCCCGCCCCCCAGCAAAGAAAGAGGGAGGCCCAGGTCAGCCAAACCATCACACCCCATGCCTATCGCCTGCAGAGGGAGGCCACTGGTGGCAGGGGGGGGGGGGCAGCACTGCACAGATGGCAAGCAGTGGCAGTGGCAGGGGTGGGGCCAGCTGCCTGCAGCAGGAGGGAAAAAAGCCCCAATAGGCCCTTATCTCAGGCCAGGCCTAGGGACCCTACCCGAGGGGTCCTGGATTGTGAGAAGGTGCAGGCCTGGCTGAGGGATCCCCCTGAGTGCACGAATTTTCATGCACCGGGCCTCTAGTATAAGAATGAAGAGAATGACAAGGAGGAGGGAAGCTACTACAAGACTCTTTCAAATGTGTAAGGGCTTCATTTCAGGCCCTTAATAAATATCTGCTTAATTTATAAAATTGCACTTAGGTGCAATGTATTACACTAGGTATTTAAAATAAATGACTCATATGGTTTTCCTAAAAACTCTACAAGAGACATTTCCTTATTGTAATTTTGTAGGTGAATGCAGCTTACTAAAACTTAAACATAAAGGTATCATATGATTCAGCAATTACACTAAGTATACTAGTATGCCCAAGAAATGAAAACATACATCTACACAAAACTTACGCATGAAAGTTCATAGAGGCATTATCCCCCCAAAAGAGGAAGCAACCTAAATGCTCATCAATTGATGAATGGATAAATAAAATGTGGTATACCCATACAGTGGGTTATCATTCAGAAATGAAGAATTTCTTTTTATATGCTACAACTTGGATGAACCTTGAAAACATTATGCTAAGCAAAAAAAGCTAATCACAAATTACCACTTATTATATGATTCCATTTACATGAAATGTCCAGAACAGGCAAATCTGCACAGAAATTAGAACAGTAGTTGTCTAGCGTTGAGATGATGGGAGAATTAGGGAGTAACTGCTAATGTGTATGGGGTTTCTTTTTAGGATAATGAAAATATACTAAAATTGATTGTGGTAATTGATACACAATTGTGAGTACCCAAAAACTACTGAATTATACACTTTAAATGGGTAAATTGGATGTCATGTGAATTATATCTCAAGAGAATTTTAAAAAACTTTCTAATGAGTTAAATTATACAGCTTAGGGAAAAAACACGTAGCTGTGTTTTCAATTTTTAATTCAGTATCAAATATGTATTTAGAATCTGTATCTATTCACTCTCCTTTCCTTTACTCAAAAAACAAACTTAAAGTAGTTAATTTTCAGGGTAGGTTAAAATGGAGATACCGTGGGAAGGCTCTTTACAGGAACCAGCCAGCTCAGAGGCAAGCACAATCCAATCTTTATAGTCGATTAAGAGGTGAACAGGTGCAGTTAGGAGTTTTACAGAACTAAGCCCCAGAACTCAGGGAGCTGAATACAGGAGCAAATGGCAAGAGATAAAGGACACCTCTACCTTTCCTGTTAAATTATAGTAGAAAACACGTAACATAAAACTTACCATCTTAACCTTTTCTAACTATACATACAGTTCAGGAGTGTTAAGTATATTCACACTGTCATACACTAGATCTCCAGATGTTTTCATCTGGCAAGGTGAAACTCTGTACCCATTAAACAGCAGCTGCTCATTTCCCCCTCCACCCAATCCCTCAAAACAACCATTCTGCCTTCTGCTTGTATGACTTTAACTACTCTAGGCACTTCATGTAAGTGGAATCATATAGTACTTGTCCTTTTGTGATTGGCTTATTTTACTTAGCATAATGTCCTCAAGGTTCATCCATGTTGTAGGATGTGGCAGAATTTCCTTCTTTGTATCATTAATCTTCCATTGTATATACATCACATTTTGTTTATCTATTCATCCATCGATGGACACCAACATTACTTCCTTATCTTAGCTATTGTGAATAATGCTGCTATGACCAAGAACTATTCTACCCTAACATTCTACTTTCTTACATTCCCAAGGAAACCACAGATACTTAATTAAGCTTAAACAAACACATCTATATATATAAAAAGCCAAGTGACTGGCCAGTAGGTATGATGTGCACTGACCACCAGGGGGCAGATGCTCAACACAGGAGCTCCCGAGCAACAGCATCTTTGCAGAGTGCCCTCTCACACTCTGGGACCCCCCAGGGGATGTCGGACTGCTGGTTTTGGCCCGATCCCTGCAGGCCAGGCTGAGGGACCCCACCTGCCGGAGGGACCCTGCTCACTCTGCAGACACCCTTCGAGCCCCGGTGTCACCCCAGGTGCAGCCGGCTGGGGAAGGACCGTGGGAAGTTGGCTCCAGGGCGTGTCCAGCACATCTCACCTAGTCCCGCCCCACTGGCCACCTTCTAATTAATTTCCTTTCAATGTGCACTAATCTGTGCACTGGGCCTCTAGTATTAAAATAAACTGGCATTCCTCAAAATGTCTTCCAAAGGATATTAACATGTGTTTGAAGAAGAAAGAACCCATTATTACAGAAGTTTAGGAAATACTGATGTAAAAGAGTTAAACAAGTTTCTCTACTGCAGAACTTCTCAGTCTTTGATATTTTTTCCATGTGCATTGTGAATCCCTAAGAGAATCTATCGCCTGCAGTTTTTCCTGAAGTTTGTAACCAGGAAGCCCCCTTTGCAGGGACTTTGGGGTTTGTGTTCTCAGGAGGAGTTAGGGAGTCTTGTTTCCAGCGAACACTGAACTGGAAGTTAGATCCTTTTGTACACTGCCTTGAAGAGCCATGTGCTCAAAGCCTAGTGATGTTACTACAGTAAGAATGATGGGTTGATTAATTAGAGAGGCTGGGTCTTTTCTGTATTCTTGTATAGTCTTAGAGCTAAAAGTAGCCTTGGTGATGGAGTCAACAATAACAGCGTTGTTCTGTTAACCTAAGGGAGAAAATGCACACATCCCAAATTCAGATGCAAGCAAACCAGAGGCTATGACAACCGGTCTTTACCAGGGTGTCTGCAACTACAGTCTAACTATGATATGAATGTACTAGTAACTAATGTATAACTATTATATTAATGTTATAACCAGAAATCTGATATGTCATAAATCATTCACAAATGAAGTTCCACCTTTAGAAGTGAAATCGGTAAAGCTTCTATTGAATGCTCTTAATTCCAAAAAATAATAAAACCGGTCATTGTAATGAGAGTCAAATTAACAAAGCAAGCTTAAATTAGTATCAAGCTTAATGTAGTTCTCAAAACTGAGTAAAGGAGAATGCACTTCTCAACTATGACAATTAAACAAAGCAAAATTAAATGTGCTACTCACTGCTATAATTTGGTCTCCAATTTGGATTCTGCCATCATGTTCCACAGCACTGCTCTTCGTAATGCTCTTTACAAAGATTCCTGAAGGTTCTAAGATTGGAAATAGTTGTGTGTTTTTTACTATTTATGAAAATCACTCAACTAAATAATATCTATCCTCTAGTATCCAAATATACAGTCCTAATTTTGAGGAAATAAACATCAGCAAGCCACACAAACAAAACCAGTAGTAGAAACTTAGGCCAGAGGATGAGACAATGGTTTTGTCTCATAAATACAAAATCACAATCACCTAATTAAGTTGTTCCTAGAAAAGTTTTCAATCTGCTTATCCAATAATATAAAAATATATAAATATGATTCAGTAACTCATAAGATAATTACATTAGAGGCAATTGCCAAGTTAAAAAAAACATATCAATGTTTAAAACTACCTAATTTTTTATCTCCAATGTAACCAGCAATGGTAATTCCTAATCCCTGGACATTTTTAGTGAGTTCCACATCAAATGTCTCATTGTCTTCACTTTTCTGAGTGGAAGCATCAACCTAAAATAAAATAGATAAATAAATACCCAGAAAAATAAACATGTAAACAAACAAGGTAACTCAAAAAGCCACATTTTTATTTTGGAATAAGGTGTAATTAGGTGTCAGAGAACTCTGCTGGGGGCTCACTGTGCGATTGATTACTCCTTCAGTCTTGTTAACGTGCACTGGGCATCATATTTGTGCCACAAGGGAATGTCAGCAGCAAACCTGAACACACCCCCTATCACAAAAATACAATGCTGCTTGTGTAAACAAAACTTCAGAAATCAAATAGTTTCTTATGATCAAATTCTATTCTCTAAGATGCGCATCTGCATGTGTTAAGGATTTAGGAGGTTGACAGAACTCACATTTTGAATTCAGATCAAGTTCAAATCTGGCTTTGCTATTGAATTTTTCTAACTTTCAAATGTCTATCAGGAATAAGGAGAACAGTCCAGCTCACATTTACTGCGGTCGGCACAACCACTGTCAACTTTTCTCTGGGGAAACTGAGGAACACAGACCTTTCCAAGGACAAACAGTAAGCATTCTAGCAGAGGCAGAATTCAAATGCAGACAGGCTGGTTGCAGAACCCCGGCTCTTGAACGCTCTGCAGTATGTAAAACCCCAGGGGAATGCAAGGGCCACTGTGTCCTCTCAGGACACTTTGCTACTGTTACTATCCCAAGTTGACAGTTGATTCTAACACCATAAGTATGACTTCCTCTATCCTTCAGAAATATTATTAATAGACTGATGATTATTTTTTAAAATATATTTTTACTAATATCAGAGAGGAAGGGAGGAGAGAAACATTAATGATGAGAGAGAATCACTTATTGGCTGCCTCCTGCACACCCCCTACTGGGGACCAAGCCCACAACCCAGGCATGTGCCCTTGACTGAAATCGAACCCAGGACCCTTCAGTCCACAGACCGACACTCTATCCACTGAGCCAAACTGACTAGGGCTGATTATGTTTTAAAAAAATCAGTGAAATGTACCCATGAACCATTTAAAATGGTCCCTGTATTTGTTTTGTAAATTCATACTCTACTTTTAAAAGCTATCTGTAAGGAAAGTCTGCTTTTCTGCTATGATTCCCTTACTTCCTGCAATGATAGCTGAACACAGGTTTCTTTAACATGCAGCACTGCTATTAATTCTATGTTGGCCTGAAGGGCAAGAGTCCCTGAATTAGCATTAGTGGATTAGTGCGATAAGTTATCATTAAGCTATTGGCATTATATACCAAAGGGGTGTTAGCATTTTACAGATAACCCTAAGAAGATCAGGACAGAATTCAGGCTATAGGTTTGAATAGACATGCTGGTTGGGGCTAGCTGGTGATGTTTTCTGATTTTTTTTAAGTAAACTCTGATTGTATCTCACTGATAATTCACCTAAACGAGATATAATTTTATTGTAAAGTTCCATTTAGTTTTCCTCACTGCACATAATTATCTGTGCAAACTTAGCAAAAAGTTTAAAGTTTAGATAATTACAAGAAAATGACAGGATGAAATCTGCTTCAATGGAAACAAATGTGTTTTCTATTTTTAATAAGACTTATGCGAGTGCTATTTTAGAGGGTGGCAATTTGACTATCGAATGGTTTTAAAAGGGGCACAAGCTTCAGAAATGATGATATGCACAGAATAGATATTTTTCTAAGCTTTCAATTACATCAAGTGGGTCTCGGTATTGCATTCATTTATATATGCTGAATAAAATGTTTTTGTTTACCACAAAAGAATGCCACTTAAATACTTTCATAAACAAGCTTTCTTTCTTTCTGCAAAAAATAGCAACCAAACTCAATCTTGAAAACAAGAGAATCATGGAAATTTCAAGTGTTCTAATAAAGTTTAAAAGGGTCTGTGGAGGAGGTTAGGATACTAAAAAAAGAATTCGAAGCAACTGGTTAGAAAAAAAGTGTCAATAGAAAAAATCAGATGTTTTTAGAACTATTGGAGAAAAATGTAGAATTTACATTTGCTATACAGCTAAACTAAAAATTGAGTGTAATTCTCTCCTTAAATATATGATTTCCAGATAAAATGGTTTTGTTGAATTTTTTATGCACTACAGTCATACTGTGATCTGAAGTATTTGTGATAATCACCACATTTGAATAATTATGAAATTTTCTAGCTCTTGTTATATTGTTACAAACATAGATGGGAGGCTATGCATATGGGTAAAGCTTTTGTTACAATCTCAAAAACATAACTTTTATTAAAAAATTTATAATAACTGGCTGAAGAATAGTGACTTCTCATTATAAATCTGATAACAGTTGTATGATATGCCATAAAACAATATTAAAAGGTTTTAGTAAGCTTTATTCACCACACCCTACTGAGGGCCTTCAATGTAAGAAAAAGTATCCAACATTTTAGGTATTAGTAGCAAATAATTCCTTAATACTTTTCTGTACTACAGAACATTATTCTCATACATGTACTGCTTAGAGAAAAATGTAAAATAGTCATCTAGAATTTTTAAGCAATCTATTTTTCATCTGTTACACATTATTCACAATTAATAACATATTATTTGTGCCGAAACATTTCTATATTTGAATTTTGTTTCATTTTTAAAAAATGTATCTTTATTGTTCAAAGTATTACAAATGTCCCCTTTGTCTCCCCACTGACCCCCTTCTAGCGCACACCTGCCACCCCACCCTAAGGCCTTCGCCACACTCTTGTCCGTGTCAATCGGTTTTGCATATATCCCTAATATATAAACATTAATAAATCTAGTTTCAAAACAAACATCCTATCATTCAGGTGCTATTGTCTATGACCTACCCCATGAACTTTCACCTACTTACCCGCATCTCTGGTGTAGAGGATGGGGATGAGGACACAGTGATGCCCAGAGAGGGGGGTGCTGCCGGTTCTTCTAGGGCACCTCTTGCAATCATCAGTTTAACTCTGTTTCCACACTGCCTGAGGACTTGTGCTACTTGCTCACTGCTCATCCCTGCTAGATCTGTGTCACCGATCTTTAGAATGTGGTCTCCACTGCACAATCGCCCATGCTGAATAAAAAGAGATTGGTTTATCAGGCTTTATTTTTATTACCTCATCAGAGAAGTCCTAAATGAGGGAAAGGGAATAAAAAATCAATGATACGAAATATCAATCATAGGACACTACACATGTGGCTGTGATTTTAACTGTTTTTTTAACTACATTTTTGAAGCAGCCTAATATCATTCAATGTGATATAAGTAACTAAAATTCACAAATATTCCTTAAATTGATAGTCGATATAAGCTTTTCAATTTGATTTCTACCTACTAGATACAAGAAAATATTAAGCCTTTTTGTGAATTTTTTGAGGGATAGAGGAAGAAAATGCCATTAAACAAAGATATAGTATAAGTCACTATACAAATATATATTACACAAAATATAGTATGAACCACAAGAAAGCAATGACAGAACAATTTTCTGCCTTGCCATTTAGTTATAAATATTTCTAAAGAATTCATTTGCAGATGATATTATGGTGAGATAAAAATTCAGATAGATGGGGAGTGGCAAGCAGTCTTATAAGCCTCTATACAGTGGCCACTAGGATTTTGTCCAAGAATGACAATGTTCTGTATTGTCCAATACGGCAACTACAAGCAACCTGCAGCTATAGAGCACATGAAATGTAGCCAGACCAAATAAGGAACTAAACTTGTAACTTTATTTATTTTAATTAATTTAAATTTGAATTTAAAAAGTGACATCTGGCAATTACCCACAGTATTGAACAGTGCGGCTCTACACTGAAGATAAAACTTATTTATCACAAGTCTGTCAACTAAGGGGATTTCACCAGATACTGCTAGATACTGGCTAATATTTTTTAAAATGTCAAACTATTGTGTTACTGTCAATATCTCTGCCAATAAATCTGACTTTCACATATGAATATGACAAATAGATGAATAGGACTCCTGAGTTCAAATACACCTGTAAAAGCAAACATCATTATGAAAAGTTACAATCAAAGCACACATATACTTACATTAGCTGAACTTGTCTAAGTAAAACATAAATTATAATAAGCAACTAAAATTTTGCCACATAGATTCCAACATGGCAATTCTAGCATAAACGGCAATTCTTTAATGTACAACTCCCAGTGACAAAAACAGGCTGGGTTTCATAGACAAAGACGACACCAGTGACCCATCACTAAAAGGACAAGATGAGTCTTGTGTTTTTTCCTACTACAGCAAACTATTCTTTTTTCAATAGAATCTTGTGGCCATAAAACAGTTGACTAGGTTTATAAATTTGATTTACGATCATAAAATAAAGAACTGCTATCTCTACAATGATCAAAACCATAACTTGGGCTTTAGTCTGGTGGTCTATTCCTTTAACTTAAGATCAATCTTCCCCTTTCAATGGTATTTCTCCCCAAATTTAAAAAAAACCAATTTAGGGACAGCCCAGCAAAACAGAAGAGTCTAACACAGCTTCTTTGATATTATCTAAGGCCACAGTTTCTTCTTTCTGGCAGATAATGTAAAAGATGAAGCCATGTTATTTAATAAAACAGCATGAACACCTGTTGGGAGTAGCTTACTTGATCAGCCACTCCTCCAGGCAGAATGGTTTTTACTATTACGCCAGTTGCTTTTCCTCCGACAATGCCAAATCCCAGACCAGATCCATCATTCACCAATTCAATAGTTTCCACATGCTGCCAGTGAACCTGAAAATAAAGCTCCTATAAGAATCTGAACATATTTAGGAAAAACTAAAATTTTCATTACAGTTGAGATTTCTGTGAAAATTATTTTATGAGTAATATTAAATAATTGAGTTCAAACATAAAAATGAGTGTAAGACATGTCTCTTTTGTTTAGTTACACGTTCGTTTCAAAAGATTGTTACTGCATAATCAATCTTGAAATTATCCACACATCATCATAGTGACCACGTTGAACCAGGTAAAGATAGGCACTGATTTGGGAGGTCTTTTGTAGAACTTTTTCTTTAAAAAAGGAAAGATCAAGGAAAAAACTTTTACATATTAAAAATGTTTTTTGCATTATCCTGCCTTGCAAGATTCCAAAGTAGATTACTTCTTAAAGTCATCATAGACAGCTAACTATAACAATAATACAGAGTATAGTTGACAAATTATAAAGCAAAATCAAGATTATATCTGTCGGCAGATAGAGTCAATTTTGTAAAAGGTCTAATTCATTTTCATTTGAGAGATGTTACCAAATAAAAAAAAGAAACTATACAAAATATGGTAAAAATAGTTTTAGAAGCCAGAAACTTATCAAAATTAAATAACAACTATTCTGGGCGAGGGAGAGATAAAAGAATAAAAAGGCAAAAACTCAAGAAATACAAAGAACCTAAGGAAAATGTAAAATAGTCATCTAGAAACCTATAAAAAAGAAGTAGAAAATGAGTTCTATTCCTTGTGAAAATCTTACATACACACCGGATTAGAGTGAGCGGAAATTGTGCTGGCCGCAGATGGGGAGCGGGAAACCACGGGACTGATGAGCTGAGGCAATGAGCCTCTGGCAATAATGAGCTGCACAGTGTCTTTGGCTTTCTGCAGGATGCTGATGGCCTGCTGATGTGTGATCGTCTGATCAAGTGCCTGTCCATTGATGGCAAGGATTTGGTCAGTTTCCTTCAATCTTCCATCTCTATCAAGAATGAGAAAGGAGGTAAAAGATACCTGATGGCTCCCAAGACAATGACAGCTTTTCTGGTGTACAGCATCAGATTACTGTAACTCTATTTTCTAATGTCCACAATTAGGTAGCTTTTTCTGGGACTTTGACTTTTAAAAGCATAGACTTTGGCTCCAGTGCATCTAATGAACTCCCCCCATTGTAGAGCCCTCTTCTTTCAGCGACCCAACCTTTTCATTATATCTTGGATGTGCCTATCTTCTACAAATAAAAGAGAGGAGGCATATATTTACTTGTTGCTTTGAGTATATTAATAAAATCTCTTTTAAATTATCATGGGCTACATGGATAGTTTTCTAAATAGTAATTTTAAAATCTAATCAGAAGAGTCCATTTACTAACATTGAGCAGATGTCCTCATCAAATTTTTCTTCCCTTACTAAAAAGTGATTAAATTATGACTATATTGAAAAGCTACTCTTCTTTCAAAAGGACTAACATTTTATCATAGCAATACCAATGATGTCTAAAAAAACTGGTTATTATCATTATTTTTGGATTCTTGTTTGTTTTCATTCATTTTGCTTCTCTACATTCTCCCAGGGTGATCAACACCTCCCGAATATGGTATCAAACCCAGACCAGCAGCCCGCCAGTCTCACCTGTGAGCCACACTGCCCTCTTGGATCTCCTGCACAAATATTCCCAGTTCTCCCCGGTTGTCACTCCTCAGCCCCACAACACTGAACCCGAGGCCTCCACAGGGAGGTTTGAGGAGCTCAAAAACTTCTACATGGCGACCCTGTCCAGGAAGCAAAGCAAGAAACAAAATTAAAAGCTAATCCTTGCACTTCTAGTCATCTTATTAGTGGCATTCCTTTGTTTAAAAAAAACTCAATAAATTCTTTTTTTCCCCCTAAAATAACCTTGATCCCTATTCACCTAGAATGAGACTTTTATTTATACGGGAGACTATTTCTAGAACATAAAACATAATACTCAGTTGAAAATGTGATTTTTTAAAGAAATAGAATAGAAAAATCTCTGAGCCATCCAAACAAACAAAATCTACTTCATTTTCATTCCAATTTTTTTCAGATGTTATAAATGTCTTAATAAATAATAATACATTTAATACTACATTTAATACATATATATTTAATGTATATTTAACATGTTACATAAGATAAACATATAAATATTCTTCAAATTATCCAGGACTTGGTTACATTCTTTTAAGATATTATACACTCTATCACAACTAAAAAGAAAAAATGTTCTTACCTGGGCCATATTTTTGATCAGTTGATCAAATTCATCACAAGCAGTTTTCCCATTGATGTGTGGAGTACCTGCCGCTGTAAGTACTTCCAGAGTCCCATTGTTTTGGGACGATAACAATGATTCATTTTGCAGAGTAGTAATGACAGCTGGGCTGAGATGTGGAATATGGGCACATTCTACATTTGAAATTGCTGAAGTTGCAATGTTTACCTAAGAGTAATATGAAAGTCATTAACAATTTCAACATCCCATAAACAATTAAATAGAAAACATCCCAAAAGAGGTAATAATGAAGTACATACCAAATTTCAAACTGGTCATGCCTTTTAATTAAGCAATTATATTTCAAAAATTTATTTCAATGAGAAAAATTAAAATAACATGCAAAGAAATGTGTAGATGTGCAATGCATCACTATTTATTAGATAACAAAATATTTTTAAATTTATATCCAGTGTTCAACTTCAGGGTACTCGTTAAAACACATGTAAAAACATACACACCTATATACACTTTAAAGTAAAAAAAAAAGCTATAATATAATATGATTCAATGAACTTTATTAAACATTGGAACAATATAAAACAAACAAGCAATACTAACACTAGTTATTCCAGAGAGATGGGACTCCAGGGGGCCATTTCCTCTCCATATCGTGTGAATTTTTATAACAATGTATGTAGCAAAGAATTTGGTCTTCCCCAAAAAGCAGTCTGGCTCTTGTCTGTGGCGCCTAGGAAGTAAATTCTAAACCCCTGGGATTTCCCAGACAATAGGAGTATCTTTGTTATTCATGGTAGGCCTCAAGGTCACAAGATATCAACTCAAATTCTGAGACTATGTTCAGCCACCAGTGCAATCAATCAATGAATCATACCTATGAAATGATTTATATAATAAAGAGCCAGGGTCATAACCGATTACGACCTAAGGCTCCACCAGACCAGAAGTCAGTGCTGGGTTGCCCTGGTGCTGACTGCCTAGGGGGCTGCAGATCACGCCCGGAGAGAGGTCTGCAGAGAGAGAGAGAGGCAGGGTCTGATCCATAGCCTCTGTAGCAGCCGTTGATCAGAACTTGCCTCTCTTTCTCTCCCGGCCTGGCCAACAGCCTTGCCTCCATTTCTCTCCAGGTCTCCACTGGAGCTGCTGATCAGCCCCACCTTTCAGATCAGGCCCCGTTGATAGGCCCAGAGACGCTGACTGACATAGAAACTGACCAATCAGAACCAAATCTGGGTCAACTGTGAGGAGCCAATGGCTGCCTAAGAGGCGGAGCTTTTGACGCTGACGATAGAAACTACTGACCAATCAGAATCAAATTGGCCGGCAGAGGAGGGTAGTTGGGGGTGAGATCAGACCGGCAGGGGAGGGCAGTTAGGGGCGATCAGGCAGGTAGGCAGAGGCAGTTAGGGGCAATCAGGCAGGCAGGCAGGTGAGTGGTTAGGAGCCAGCGGTCCCAGATTGTGAGAGGGATCAGGCCTAAACTGGCGGTCGGACATCCCCCAAGGGGTCCCCAATTGGAGTGGGTGCAGGTTGGGCAGAGGGAACCCCCCTCTCCGTGAACGATTTCATGCACCGGGCCTCTAGTGTTCAAATAAAAACTCTGAACACAGAGCTCAGGTGAGCTTGCTGGTTGGCAATACTCCATGCATACTGCCACGCATTGATTCCGGGAAAGATACCTCCTAAGAAAAATAAAAGCTTTGGTTTGAAATCCTACCAGACCGAGCTATGTGTCTCTTCCTTTAGCTAATATTTGACCTGTAATCTTTCCGTAAAATAGACCACACCCCTGAGTTTAATAGCCCAGTAAGTTCTTTGGTCCTTCCAGTTAAATGTTGGAGGGTAGTTTTGGGAACAAACCTCCTAAACTTGCAATAGGTTCTGTCTTGTGGTGATTCTTTCCTCTAACTCAGTATTTGAGTTTAACTCCTTTGCTGTTGCTCTCAAAAGTCTTGGGCAGAGTTGCCAATCTAGAGGACTTTAAACTTCACAAACTGGCAAATTCCAGATACAATGATATAATGTAAACAACAACAAAATAATTCCATTTTGGAAAAGTATTCTCTAATTACTTTTGTGTGCCTGCTATAAGGAGCCCCAAGTTAAAGCTAAATAATTGACAGAAGAGTGAAAACAGCCAATCCTGATTTCATATTTCCATAGGGTGTCTGGAATCTAACTTTATACCTATAATTATTTATCAGCAAGGTGATACCAATTGTGTTTCGGGATCACTTTATGAACTCATCCCCTAGCACTGTGTCCCCATAGCTCCAGCTATACTGACCACTTCACCTTTCCTCAAACTGCCAAGTTGCCCCCTTTACCAGTCAGGTACATCCTTCCCTCAAGTATCTACATGCTTACTTCTTTCATTCAAGTGTGCTCAATGCCACCACACAGAAGTCCTCCCTGACAACCCTATTTAAGAAGCATCCCACCATTACACTCCATGAGCTTACCCGGCCCTATTTTCCTTCATGGTTCTTATTGCCACCCAGCATGTACCCTGTTGCCATGGAGCTTTCATCCCAGTCAAGACAGACTAGAATGTGGAATTCTCCAGTGGAGGAATCTGACTATTTTTTTCTGAATTACATCCTCATTATCTAGAAGAGTGCCTAGCACATAATTGGCATTCAACAAACATTTGCAGAATAAATGTCTATTCATTTTATAAGGACCTACTCTGATATCATCTCCCCAAAAAGCCTCCAAATAACTTTATTTTCATTTTACAGATGACGACAAAATTAGCAAAGTCACACACTATATATAGCAGCAGACACAGAATAAGTTAGCTTTTTCTCATCATGGCATTTTTATCATCTTTGTATTATATATATAGAAAAAAGTCATTTAAGGTATCATTTCTGCAAATAGGATATTAGGTAAAGAGCTTCCATTAACAGAAGTAATCAAAATATTTCACAATGTATCACCAATCTGTGTCTAAGAGTTACATATCCTTAAAAATAAAACAGAAAACTCAACAACTTACCAAAGTTACCAATTATTTAACCATAATAATTGCTATCTTCAACCACAGATGAGAAAGAGATCAATGTGCTTAGATGAGGCTTCTGGGAATACTTTCAAATGGGTATTTTAAATCTAGAGCAGGCACATGATCAATTATTATTTTTTCAAAAGCAAGCTTCTTATGCCAAACCTGCTTATTTTTTTATCCTGAGCCACGGCACTTCAATAAAGCCTGCCAGCAGAAGATACACTGCTCAGGTTGAAGCAGATGGCATAATGAAATTTTTGACATGCTGAGGATCCAACACACCCAGACCTAAGGCCTATGGGGTATTTCATAGGAAAAATATTTGGATTTCTACTATGGTAAGCCAGAATGAACAAATCACATTCCAAGAACAGAGTGTATCCATGTGAAGTTAACTGATGAAGTATAAGCTCGGATACGTGTAAGACAAGGTGGGAGGGCATCCCAAGGGTAAAGCTATAGCACCAGAGCAAGTATATTGTTATATGAAACGTATAAAAGTGTTAAATATCAGTGTTTTCTCCAAATATGTGAGAGGTTTAACCAATGTCAATGACTCCTCCTGTCTTCTCCTGGCCCTTGAGGTTCACATAAATAGAGTATTACACTAAGTGAAATAAACCAGTCAGAGAAAGACAAGTATCACAGGATCTCACTCATATTGTTCATGGAATCTAATTAACAAAATATACTGATGAACAAAACAGATCCAGAGACACAGAAGCATGTAACACACTGTGGAATCTCAGAGGGAAGGCAGAGGTGAGTGG